TAGGATTTACGCAAATACTTGTTATTATTGATTGTGTAAATCTTAATTCGTTTGATTATATATGATTCCTTATTAATTTGACAAATAATATTCATGATTTCAACTAACATGATTATTGATTTTATAAATATTTATCGGTTTATATTTCTGTGATGATGATTGTGTTTTGTAACTCGGTATGAATTTTTATAAGCTTATGATATGTTATATTGATTTATTTAATTTGTTTGATTTGATTTCCAGCATATGTATATTTTTATTGATTTTTCTTTGGCTACAACACTTTTTGTTTTTGTTAGAATATTGACTATTTTATTTACTGCATTTATAAGTATTATACACATTTTTACGTATTTCTCTTCATTATTGGTACTTGTCATATGTTGACTTAGTGATTTTGTATGTTGTCTGTAACTGTGTTATTATTATGTTCTATAAATTATCTATTTTGTGGTGTGATTATGTTGATTATATGATAAATATCTTCTGCTCTATTATAATGTGTATTGTGTACTTCTTACCCTTTATATAAATTAACTATTATCATGTTTTATATTTATATATTGATATTTTTCTTTTCTGTCCTTCTGTTCAATGTTATGAATATATAGCTACATGATTGTTGCATATTTTTTTTCATGTCTCTATATGTTGTCTATTATGTTGTCTAAACTATATGTATGTTTGATTATTCGCTATTTTATTTTGCTTACATATTCTTCAAATATTTCTTTTGCTTTTGCTTTTATATGATTCATCTGTTATTCGTATTATATTTTTATGTTTTTGTGTTTTATCATGTTTATCATCTCCTTACGTATGAGTGATTTATATTTTGTTGAGATCATTTTGTTTTATCATGTTTATCATCTCCTTACGTATGAGTGATTTATATTTTGTTGAGATCATTTTGTCTTTTATCTTCTTCATGCTCTTTTACGTATGAGTGATTTATATTTTGTTGAGATCATTTTGTCTTTTATCTTCTTCATGCTCTTCTTTTAATCATTTATATTATTGAGTTGATATACTTTATCATATATTCTAGTGATTAACAATTGTTTGAATTATGTATTTATATTTTATATCATATTTTTGTATGCTATATATTCGTTATATTTTATCAATTTTGTGTTATTGATTACATTTTAACACCTTGATGTGTTGTCTTATGATAGTATATCAATAATATCATGTTGATATATGTTTCGTACTTTTTGAATGATTCGTGTATGACGCATATGTATTCATGTTATTATACATATATTTATATTTTCTATGTATTTCTTTTAAGATAATTATCACCTTTTTGTGTCTCTTGTGTACTGAATACTAGCATATTTTATGATTGTGATACAACTGCATATATTATGACATAAATTTTTTATACACTACCGAGTGTTCTTTTATGTATTAATCGTGAATTGCTTGATATCACCTTATACTAGCATACAAATATTTATTTTTACATGCATATGAATGTTGAATCTCAGCTATCGCTCTTATATCTTATCTTACGTCGTTATTATTTTACATTCCCCTCTGCATATGGATATAGTTCCATATCTCTGTCCTTGGGTTTTTTGTATATTACTTTTACTTTAATTCCGAGGACGGAATTTGTTTTAAGGGGGGTAGAATATAATGATCATAAATTTTCTTTATTAGTTAAAATAATTTTTCTGGTATTTTAAAATATTAAATTATTATTTTCAAAAGAGCAATTGTATTTTCTTGATTTTCTAGAATTTTCTATGATTTAAAGTTCAAATTTTATATTTATCTGAATGATTTTGATATTTATAAATTAACTTAGTGTAGTAAAAGTTTCTGAAATTAATCTGTTATGTTACCGATACTATTACGTAACATTTTGAATAATATGTTGTATTATTACTTCGTATAATACATTGTATTATTAATTACGTATTATTTGTTTAATTTATTGTATTATTTCTACTGTTGCATATTATCGATTGTATTAGTATAACTGGTACGTTTTATTATGTAGATAATTTTTCCATAATTATTTGATTTTAAATATAAATAATTATATTTTTATTAATTATTCTCGTTTAATTGTATAATTTGTTGTATTATTACTATTTTTGTATATTATCTATTGTATTAGTATAACTGGTATGTTTTATTGTATAGATAATTTTTCCATAATTATTTAATTTTAAATGTAAGTAATTATATTTTTTATTAATTATTTTTGTTTAATTTTATAATTAATTGTATTATTTCTACTATTCTGTATTATATATCGTATTAGTATAACTTGTACGTTTTAATGTGTGGATAATTTTTACATAATTATTTAATTTATTTTGTAATTAATATTATTTTTAATTATTTTTCAAAACCCTAATTATATATATACATGTATATATAATTCTCTCTCTTCTCTTTGTTTTCACGCCGCCACCTTTCTCTGTCTCCTCTCTCGTTTCCGCTCTCTCCATCCGCCGCCCCTCGTCCTCCTCTTCCTGTCGAACTCCCCCTCACCTCTCCCCGTCCATCGAGAACTCACGCCAAGCCAGCAGCCTTGGCACACGCCGCCTTCAACCCTCTCTCCACCGCCTGCACTACCCCCGCAACCACCATCGACAGCCAGCCCCATCTCCACCGCCGCCGGCCTCCTCTGCCTCGCCTAAACAGGCCCCACGCCCCTCAGGTCGTTGCCTTCACTACCTTAAAACGCCTCGCTGCCCCTCGCCGTCCACCCTCCACAAGCCGAACTCGCACCCAGCCTCCTCAGCCGGTCACCTCAGCGTCGCTGCGCCGCCGCCTCGTCCCCCCAAGACCCGACCACCCCCTCTTCCCGCTACTCATCTCTGTCCACCACGCTCTTCTCTCCTCCGGCGACTCCGAAATAGCGAAGACGAGTCGCTTCACTGTAGAAGATTGCAGATTCGGAGCCACCTTCGCCCGTGTTTTTCGGCCATCTCTGACCTCCGTTTCCGTCGATTCCTTCGTCGGTGCGTAGCCCTTCGTGTTGTCTATCACACGCCGTCGATTCCACCAAACCCGTTGTAACGCCATGCAACCACCCCGACGGCCCCCACTACGGTCCATGATATACCCGAGGCAAGATCTCTCTTGCTCATTGACTTGTCATTTTAATATCTGTTTTTATTGATTACATAGACTAGTTGTGATATAATTATCTGTGTGTGATTGTTTGATGAAGAATGTTAAATATATCATAGTAATGTGATAAATAGCATTTTTAGAATAATTATAATGAATTAAAAGAATTTAGTTCGGCAAAAGAATCATTTTTTAGATAATTATAATAATTTAAAGGAAATTATTTTGAAAATAAATTATTTTAGATTAATTGTCAAGAGAAATAATTTAAAATGAATTAATTTAGAAAAAGATTATTTTCTGAATTATGTAGAAGCTGTTTATAGTTTATAATTCTTAACTTTGATTATCTGATATGTCATGATATATTACACATGATTAGTTGCATTGATTGTTTCTTGTTGTGATTGAGAATCGTTAGGAGTTTATGACTAGTGACATGTGTGACATGAATAAGACTTAGAGACTTGTGTATGTTGACTTAGAAAATACAAGAGAGTTTGGATGGGAAAGTCTCTGTTCATGTAATTGGATAAGGCTGTTGATATATCTTCCAAGTTCGCACTGGTGGATCGGTGTCGCCACTGGGGTTGGTTTATTGGGTCAAAGTAGATCGGTGTTGCTACTTTGGTCCGTGAGTTTGATATTCACCCGAGTTTAGCTTGAGTCTGGACCAGGCTGAAAACGGATTACGTGTAGTTCTCTGACCGAGTTTGTGTAGCGGTATTAGATGCACGAAGGGAATTTGTGAACAGCCAGTTATCCGATAATATGAGTGTTGAGTCTTTGTGAGATGTGAACAAGTGACCTGTTATAGAATGACTAGTTACATGACCTTGTTACTTAAGGTGATTATGGATTCTTATGAGATGTTATAGAATGACTAGTTACATGACCTTGTTACTTAAGGTGATTATGGATTCTTATGAGATGTAGGTCAGCTCTATTTCTTTTCATACATAGATCGGGATTAATATTTAATTATCTACAATTTGAGACATATGATATATACATGAGGGTTTCCTTGTTTGGATTATTTCGCTCGACGTACTATGTCTATTGTTGTAGATTTTTAAGTATTAATTTTATCTAGTTGTATTTACTTGTTACTTGAATGATTATTCTGATTGCTAGCTGCATGATCGACTTGTTACTTGGTTGATTTTCTTGGATTCTTCTGATTATTATATTCTTATGATAGATTGCATTTAGATTATTAGTATTCCAGTAGCAAACTTCTATTATTATTATTGTTGTTGTTTTTGCCTTGGTCGTTTGACCGTTTCTTTCTCTTTGTGGGATCTTGCCGTGTGTCATACACGCTGACGTACACCTATTTTCTCTGTTGTACGTCAGATTTAGGAGATGAGCAGCCTCAGTTTGGAATCGTACAAGAGCTAGAGGATTCTCAGCAGGAGTGCCTTGCAGATGGAGCAGAAGAACAAGTTGAAGCTTAGCTATTTCCTTCGTTATTTGATGGTTCTTAGTTTATCTTTTGCAGTGTTTCCTTTCTATTATCTTTTCCAATATTTCCGTTTCCAGGGGCTTTTACCGTTAGGGGGAGGGAACCATTTGCGTTAGGGCGATAGGCGGATTCTCAATCTTCTAGAGTAGTGATTATACGACTGCTCCCATCAGGCCTGATTTTTCTTATCTCTTACTTATTTAATTCAGATTTTATTTTATGCTATAATCTTGATTTACAGATAATTTCCAACATTTGTTAGATACCTCGTAGTTCAAACGGGTTATATGTATGAGACAAAAAAAGTTCAACTCGGTTCTGTGCCACTACCCCCAAAGTTCAGGGGGTGTTTTGTGAAATTAATCCAAAAAAGAACAGCATCTAATCTAAACCGGAGCTGACCAACTTGTCTCAGCCCGAAAAAGCCCAATTCCAGAACCTTCTTATAACCCTCAAAAACCCTAACTTCTCCCCCAAACCACAAGTAAACACAACCATTCTTAAGCCCTAGTCTCTCCCGAGAGTCCCCATCACAGAAATCAAAAACCCTCAATCGAAAATGGCGAAGCGTTTGATTCCTGCTCTCAACAGGGTTTTGGTCGAGAAGATCGTCCCCCCTTCGAAGACCACCTCTGGGATCCTGCTCCCTGAGAAAACCACCAAGGTATCACCTTTCCCCCCACCTTAAAAAAAGTTGTTTTTTTTTCTCATTATTTAATCTTGCTCTGAGGTTTCTGTTGATGGGTTATGTTCAAAATTTGAAATTGTGATGTGGGTAGTTTGCCGATTTTAGTCTCGTTAATCATCACGTAGCATTTCCACTGATATAATCTGATACTGAGATATAATGTGCAAATTCCTGATTATTTCCTGTTAATTAAAAATATTTATTAGAATCTCAGTGTTGATGTTCTGTTTGATCCTTTTTATTGGTCATAGCTGAACTCTGGTAAAGTTATTGCTGTGGGCCCCGGTGCGCGCAGTAGGGATGGGAATGTTATCCCTGTTACTGTGAAGGAAGGGGATGTTGTGCTTCTGCCTGAATATGGAGGGACTGAAGTCAAACTGGGAGATAAGGAGTATGCTTCACTTTCCTTCCTTTTATATTTCAGTTGCAATTAGTGTATATGTATCATTTTGTTTTCTCCTTTTCTTTCTCCGAAGTCAATCCAATATTTACACAACAGTTTGCTGCTATCTTGTGCACCTATGGTTATAACACTTGAATTATTGATTATTGACCCATGATTTGTTATTGTAGTATCTGTCTTTTTGTGCATGATTATCATTTATTTTCATTATTAGTTCGTTTTGGTTGTTTTCCTTGAAATTTTAATCATATATCATAAATAACCTTTGATCAAACATTTGGTGCTAATGTGTTTGGAACGGGTTGCTTATATTTGCAATTGTATGAATAATTTTTATATGTAATGCATTTGCTAGTATATGTATGCACTACTTTATCATTATCACTTGATGACAGTTTGCCAATTTTTAGGACTTTATTACGTAGTTTCACATACCTATGGTCCGTTGAGAAATCTTACATTTATGTATAAATATAAGCTGGTTGCTTAGGATTCAAATCTAGTTTCAGTTAAGTCTAGGTAGTTTTGCACCTGAGATATGGTCATCCACAGGCTTAACCTGTTCTGATGCCTGTATCGTGTAATTTGGGCCTGGCTTGCTCCATCGATCTTGGCATCGGTTGAACATGCATGTGGTCAGTTAAATTTGCAGGAAAATATTTTCTTTTTCTTCTTAGCCATGCATCTTTTTCCGGCTACTTTTTTTAACTTTATATGTTTGCTGTCACATTACACTCAAAATTTTCATCTTTCCTGGTTGAAATGTGGTTGAAATTGGGTGCCAGTATGGTTTCAGGCAATGTTAAATGCCAATATGACATCTACATGATAGATTTAGTGTAGAAGTTCAATTTTACTTGGGTACTTGCCAATGAATTTTGTTGTACCAGTATAGTAAGGGATGTCTAGTTTTTATGTAACAAAATAAATGATAAAACGGACAAACTTATGGAATTAGATATGTTGTTTTCAGGTACTTGGAATAGTTTGCCAATTACTGATGCATTAATTTAACTGATATCACTTAAATTGGTTCAACAGCGTGAGAATGTTTAGTGGTAAGCTTTTGCAGTTGTTGAAGTTGTGGGATTTTATATGCAGTTGTTGAAGATGTCGGATTTTATTTGTACCAGTGAATGGTAAAACAGCTGGGATTTCGTGGTTGTTTTCTAGTCTAGAGAAGCCGTTGACGATAAGAATGTGCCTTTGTAGAGTATCCATTTCGACTCCTGTCATTCATTAGCAAGAAATATAACATGTTATATACATACCCGTGGGGGATCAAAAGGCACTAAATGACTTAAACAGATGCAATTGACTAAACTCTGTTTATATTGTGCCATATCAAGTGATTCATATTCTTAGTTTTTTTACTCCGCCATGTGGAATCTAATCTTGTACATCTTTTATTAAAAATATTTTGCTAATCACCGATGGAAGCTAATAGATGTCACACAATAGCTGAATTGGTGGGCAGCAATTTCTTGAAATGACGAGCGCTGGAATTTTATGTTACCTTGGTTCGTGCTTGGTAACCACTAAAAAGCTAGGCTAGGATTGATCCTGGCCCAGTTTTATCTTCAAAGAAGGGGTTGAGGGGGAATTTCTGCTTTGAACCAGTTTAAAAGTTAATTTTTTTTCATGGAAAACTAGGCCAATATTGACCCAAAATTTGCCAAACACGACTCTCTCGAAATGGGGCCAAGAGTAATCCTAGCCCAGTTTTGTGGTTGCCACCACAACCTTGAATGCTCAAGTACCAATAGTTATAGGGAGCTTATATAGTGACTGTCATGAAGGCAACTTCTTGCAATCTCTCAAACTCCTGACACTTGGTACCATTTTGGGAAAGTTATGTTTGGAAAAAACTAGGCCAAAACTGGTCCATTTTTCTTAGGCTAAAAAATGACCCTTAAACTGGTTTGAAGCCGGAACCCCTCTCTCCCAGCTTTCTTAAGGCAAAAAAAAAAGGAAGAAAAAAAAAGCCCTTGGACTGGTTAAAAGGCAGGTCAGTTTTGTTTATTCCTGACCTAGTTAGGATGAAACTGGGTCAGTCCGTGCTTTATCCATGTCACTCTTTAAGCTGTTGTTATCTGGACGACGAAGAATTTATTTAGGCGACACATCCAACAATCTTCGGGTATACACATTGTCCTTTGTGCTCAGTTGGGTTGGGTGCATAAAGAGATAATCGTATATTCATGTGTTGATCAATATTCTGCTATTTACTATTGATTTCTGATATTGATTTTATCTTTAATCACTTTGCTTTCTCTGTTGGCTGCAAATGTAACGTAAATACTCTAATTTAACCCCTACCTGTTTCTTAAGGCTTCACAGTTAAGTTTACTTTTTGGTCAGATTATATACATCTAGTATATCTTTTCTTTACTTTTTTCCCCTGGTTTTCGAGAATATAGGGTCTGACTGATTTACTACTAATGCTCCTGCCTTTACATGCTTAATCTTTGTAGGTATCATTTGTTCAGAGATGACGATATCCTTGGCACACTTCATGACTGATGCGGGAATGTTGAGGCAACCATTTGGTTTAGGTTATCATAATCATAAATGTTTACTTTCAAAATTGGGGAATTATGCAGTATGCTATTGAACTGGAAAAAGGCCCCCTCCTTTTTTTGCTGTCCCATGATTTGATTAAAAACTTCCTGCGACTTTTTTTGCTACCGAGTTTTGGAATGCTGGATGCGCTGCGCATAGTCATTTAATGGAAAGTGAGTTACTTTTCAGGTCCGGTTTTGTCTGTGTTGTGCTTTTCTTACTATTTGGTGTTCTGGTTGATGGTGGAATGGTACTGGTTATGTTGATATCCTGGGATTTGATATTTTGATTGCATTGCAGCAATGCTTTATATATGTATGTTTTCAACATCTGTGTTTCTACAGAACTCCTGGATTTCCTCACTTTCCGTAGAGCAGGCCATAGTTGCGTAGTTGCACACTCGTGCCCTTGCGGAAGGCCCATGCTGCAAACAGTCAAATCTGAGCCTTGTCGCTCTTCTTTCCTCGTAGGCGGGAAGCACACCAGCAGCATGCGTTGCGACGCAGCAAGGAAGAGGGGAAGGGGAGCTGCCCGCCCGTACTCTCATTAAGGCTACCGCGCAACATTTTTAATACTACGCGGTTGAAAGAAAGCCATCCTGCTTTCCGTGACATCATCATAATCCACTTTGCCACAATGTATTTGGATTTTCTTGATCACAGGCTTTTACCCTCTTAAGCCCTAGGACAAGCCAGGGCTACTTACAATTAGCCAATTAAGAATTATCAGATGATGTACTAGCCCACGAGGGAAAAAATGGCTTTCATCAATGCCCACCTATATGAGATAGATGCAAGGTAGGTAATTAATACAAACAGTTGGTATACAACTTTATCAAAAAATTCCCGGTTTAGGTTGAAGAAAAAAGAAAAAAAAGGTGAACTAAGCACAGTTAGCATGTTCAAAAGTGAACCAATTTCTTGGACTACTACGAAAAACACCATTGGATTTCAAAGTAGCTCAGTCTAATTCAAAATTTTCACCTAATTTTACATATTGTTATTTAGACAGGGCAATACATGGTTTTGGAAAATTATTTTGGTTTAAATGATCTTTATTGTTCTTATTTAAAAGGACATAAAGTCATAATTTTACAAAGAGCAAGGACTGTATTAGCTCTGATTATAGATTTGATCTGATTTAAAGAGCAGTGGCTGTATTAGCTCTGATTATAAATTCGATCTGATTTTCTTTCGTTATAGGTTGTTGGAAAATATTCGAATCTGTCATTAACGGTAGACACACGAACATGAATATTTCATTATGCGTGTTTTGTTTGTCACAGGTTGTGCATGGGATCTTTCCTATCACTTGTTTAGGGACAAAATTACCAAACTGGTATCTTTTAAAGCTCTGACGACCTGAGGTTTAAAGTGAACCAAATGTACAATTAGATCTTTTATAAATCACTGGTAAAAACATTTAAAAAGTAGTTCCTCAAACCTTTACTAGCTTGATATTAACCTCTCAAATAACTGAAACTCACTCCCCAATCACCCGCAACCCCCCACCCCCACCTCCCCCC